GGGGTTCTTTCCAGATTGATCTTTTAAGCCCAGTCAATCCTATCGGTGGGCTGAAATAATTTAGGAAAGAAAGGCACCTACAGTCCATTTTAGTGAATAGCAGGCCTTAAGTTAATTAGGCCTTATTTATGACGCAGTAAGCATTTAATGGGCCTAAAGTAGAGCCCATTTAATGGGACAACAAGTTCTAAAAAAATAAACTTATATCAATTAATAATCTAGTGAGGTGTCTCATTTATTTGTAAAGGGATGCCACTTGTCCTATCATAACAAGAGGGCTATTCTCCCTCTTCTAGCCACTTCAAGTGGGGTGACACATGTCACCCTAGGGAGAGAAGATTATTTTTCCTCTTCTAACCACTTTAAGTGGGGCAACACATGTCACCCTAAGAAGAGGGAGTTATTTTCTCTCCTCTAACCACTTCAAGTGAGGTGACACGTGTCACCCTAGGGAGAGAAGATTCTTTTCCCTCTAACCACTTTAAGTGGGGTGACACATGCCTCTAACCACTTAAGTGGGGTGACACATGCCTCTAACCACTTAAGTGGGGTGAAACGTCACCCTAGGAAGAGGGGGTTATTTTCCCTCCTCTAACCATTTTAAGTGGGAGTAATACTTGGCACCCTAAGAAGAAAAGGGTAGGGAGTTACCTAACCACCTCTCTCCTCCATAAAACCCCACTCCTTGTAGAAGAGGGGGCTAATGCCATTTTATTGGCTAATACCAATTTGTCTACAGGATTTTCAGCACTAAGAAGCAAGTGAGAAGAGAAAAGAGAAGAAGATTGGTGTCAAGAAAATAAAAAATAAAAAAAAAAGAACAGGAAGGTAGGGAATATTGTTTTCCTCCCACACCTCTTCACTATGATATTCCTTGTCCTTCCCACATGAGATGGAGGACCAGATTCCTTATATTCCTCTCATCCCTTTCTTTCTTCCCTTATTTTTTCTTTCTTTTCTTCCTTATCTCATACTGAAAAACATGCAAGGAGATAACCATGTACAGACTTGTCTTTAAAACTTGGATGATTATGGTCCTTACTCTATCTTAACCCATAAAATCACTATTTTACATGTAAGGAGACAACCATCTACAGCCTTGTCCATAAAACTTGGATGATTATGGTTCCTTACTTCATTTGGACTCTGATTACTTTGTGTGAGGGAAGAAACCATCTACAACCTAGTTTAGAAAACTTGACTGATTATGGTTCCTCATGTTAACTTAAAGCCAAGTTAGGCGGAGAAGAAATCGGAGTGACATAGAGATGTTCGATTGGAAGCTATCTTGATGGCATTCATATTGTCAGCTAAAAGAGGGATGGAGGAAGAATGATCAATGTCCATATCTCGGAGAAAACCTTTGAGCCAAACAGTTTCACTACATACAAAAGGGCATTGCACGATACTCCGCTTCAGTGGATGACTTGGATACAATCTATTGTCTCTTGCATTTCCAGGAGATGAGAGAATCAGCAAGAAATTATACATCATCTGGGAGTGGAGCGGCGTGTCAGGACATCTAACCTAATCAAAATTACTATAAGCTCTAAGGAAAGTAGTAAATGAGAATGGGAAAAACAAACCATAAGATAGTCCCCCAGAAATAGTGAATGATCCAAAGAACAACTAAAAAATAGGGCTGTTGGGAGTAGAGCCAAACTAGATGACAAGCTGAACAACAAAAGAAATATCTGGTCAAGTCATAGTTCGGTAGATTAGACTGCCCACAAGTTGCCAGTATAGAGTGATATCAAGGAGCAATTCACCATCATCCTTGATTAACATCAGATTGAGCTCCAAAGGAGCGTTAGCCCACTTAGAGTCTATAAGACAGGCCATCTGCACAAGGTTAGAATCAGAAGCATACTTTTGTTGGTTGACAAAGTTCCCTTGAGGAGAGTTCTTAATTTCCAGACCCAAAAAATAAGTAACTGGACCAGGATCTTTCATTATGAAGGTGCTACTAAGCAAAAGTTTCAGTGTATCAATCCTATCCACATCATCCCCGGTGATCAAGATATCAACATACACTAAAATAAATGTTAACCATTGGGCCCACTTACGGATAAAGAGAGAATAATCAAAGGAACTCTGCTGAAATCCAACATATAAAACAACTGAGCGGAAACGTTCAAACCAAGCCCGAAGAGCTTGTCTAAGCCCATGAAGTGTTTTTTTTTTTACTTTTTAAACCAAGTTGGTATCGTCGCAATACCCAGGGAGAGGCCCTGTAAGTGTCCATAAAGGAAGGCATTTTTAAAATCCATTTGATGTACAGTCCACTATTTAATAGCAGTGATAGCCAAGAGTAAACGAACTGTGGTCATCTTGGCCACAAAAGCAAAGGTTTCATCATAGTCAATGACATACTCTTGCTTGTACCCTTGTGCAACCAAATGGACTTTGTATCTACTCAAGGTGCCATCATATTCGAGTTTCATAGAATAAACCCACCTACTTCCAATGATGGAGGCATCTAGAGGATGAGGGACAAAATCCCAAGTATCATTTTCTTGAAGGGCTTGAATTTCTGCATCCATAGCATCTTTCCAATGCTTAACAACCATGGCCTAGAAATAAGACTTTGGAATATCTGTAGAGGACAGCACAACAAAAAAGGAGCTATGGTTGGGAGATAAGCCATAGCGGTTAGGACATGAAATACAAGTGGAACGCCATAAGGGCAGAATTAGGTAAGTCAACAGAAAGAGGAGAACTTACAATACAAGTAAGATGCTCAGGCTCTGGTGCTGAAGATGGAGGGAGCATAGGAGTTGAACAAACTGGATGCTTCCTATAATAAACCTACAACTATTGAGGACTAAGAGGAGGATGATCACCTGCAGAACCAAAATTATGCAAAACAGAAATGGATGTTGCAGGTAACTTAACAACATGCTCAAAGAAAGAGATATTTTCAAGAAAAATGACAATACAAGATATGTGAAAACGAAGGACTTTGGGATCACAATAGACAAATCCCTTGTGTTCAAAGTTGTAGCCCAAGAATGAGCACAGAGATGATTGTGCAATCAGTTAAGTGCACTCAATGAGGAGGAAGGTTAACAGGGCAAACATAATCGAATACATGAAGCATGGACAAGTTGGATGTACAATGAAAAAGGGCCTCAAATGGAGATGAATTTCCAAAAGCAAAAGAGGGAAGCAGATTAACAAGATACACAGATATGTTGTTCACCTCCACTGAGAAGGTAATAGGGACATAGGTATCCTGTAGAAGGGCTCTAACTGTACTAGCAATCTGACAGTTCTTGCGCTCAGCCACCCCATTTTGTTGAGGGGTGTTTGTGCAAGATCTCTAGGACAAAATGCAATGCTATTAAAGATAGGTTTGAAATTCACCATGTTCTCCATCAAAATACACTCCCCTTGAATCAGATCACAAGATATTTATGGTGCTATTAAACCAATTTAAGACCATAGCATGAAAGTTCTTAAATGTGCGAAATACTTCAGATTTCTTCAAAGGAAGTACACCCATGTATATCATGTGCAATCATCAATAAACAACACAAAACCCAAGTGAGAAATAACAGGTGATGACCAAATATCACTATGGATGTATATAATATGAAAGGGAACAGATGCATGCTCATAAGAAGATGGAAAAGGCAAAACATGGCTTTCACTGAAGTAACACGTCAAGCAAGATTTATCAACATTCTTAAATGAAGAAACATTAATAGGTAAAGAGTGTGGCCTAATTGTCTATGCCACAAATGCCACACATTGTTACAAAAATTAGAAGATAAACTAGAAATAGAAGAAATCAAACAAGAAGCCAGAGTAAAACTCTTGTCCTGGAGCAAACAGTCTTCCAATCCTATGACCCTTCCCCTTTAGCTGGCAGTACGCTGGTCCTAAATAAAACAATCATCATGAGAGAAGAAAACAGTGTTACCATCATCAAGAAGTTGGACAACAAAGATCAAGTTGGAAGTAAATTTCAGAACAAAAATAGTTTTGGGAAGATGAAAAGAGGATGACTTGGAACTAGATAAAAAAAGGTCATCACAACTACAAATAGGAAGAGATTCACCATTAGTAGTAACAATGTCATTATCAAAGGAACATGGTTTAGGAGACTGACCAAAGGAATCACCAATCATGTGGTTTGAAGCTCCAAAATCAATGGTCCACATATGTGATGGGGAATAACAAAAATAAGTAAACATACCAAACAGAACAATAGCTAAAAAAGTAAGGAAATAGTTGATGACATCAATTGGTGAATCCTATCTTCAGTAAGAGAGCTAAAAGAATCTAACTTGGGAGCTGAAGTGGAAGAAGATGAGACATCAGGTGATTCAGCCACAACATAATAGGCCTTAGGTTGTCCCTTCTTAGAGGGCCAAGTGGGGAATTCAACAATAATATGACCCAATTGTTTACAATAGGTACAAAAGTATGTGGATTAGACCTGTATTTTGTAAAATAAACAAATATCTGAGGATACATAGTAGAAATAGAGAAGTAGAGAAAAAGAAGAATACGAAAGGAATAGGGCAAAGGCAGTTTCAGTTGAGAGACCCGACTGCCAACCAAATAATAAGAACCATAAACAATAGAAGGAAAAAGACCAAAAAGACCCTACACGAACACTAAAATTTAACACTCCCCCTCAAGTTGGAGCATATATATCATAAAAGCTCCAACTTGTTATAGATATACTTCATTC